TKTTTTTTTACAGTAGTTACTATTTAATCTCTTTTTAGGGCAAACACTTATGTTATATATTACATCTTGTATTGTTTACTTGACTCTATTTCATCTTTTTTGCTAGTTTTTTTAGCAAAGTTTAATGTATTCATGCTACATTGTATGATATTYGCATACATGCAGTAATAATTGTCGACTTTATTAATTACAATTTCTGTTATCATATACAATTGAAGTCCAAGAAGAAGAGAAAGATGAAGATGATGGAACTGTAGAGGTATGTGAAGCTCATCATATAGCTTTGCATCATTGGAGATTTGGTGTTTCTTTCACCACATTATAGTAGACCTGAAATGCTTGGACAGTCATTTCATTGACCTCATGTCTTATCCCATTTGATCATTGCTCTTATATTATATGACTTCTTCTTTCTGCTTATGGTACATATGGTCCTCACAGAATGTTTTCCATTGTTCTTCATGAATGTATAAAGGCACTAAAAACCTGTAATTTWAMCYAATCCTTTGCTCTGTTGTTTCTGCTTTAGACTGATGAATCTGAAGGTGAAGAAGAATATGATCACTTCACTGATGAAGAGGAATTTGAGGTGAAGAATTTATACAACATGAACCAATATTACTGAACATACTTGGAATTAAAACTTATTATTACAATGCTAGCATTTATGTAATCTGGAATATTGGCTCTTGCTAAACATTACAAATAAGAAATATAATTTCAATAAGCTTGAAGACTGTTTGATAATGTATTGTAATATTTTTATAATGTTATATAACGGAATGCTTTCCCTTTGAAAAATTAGTTCATGAAAAATATTCAACTTGCCTTTTACAGGGATATAATAAAGAAAAAGTTTCCAAGGGGAAACAAGGTGCAAACCAAGACCTGAAAATTGAAAAGGTACTTCCTGCATTTGCTATGATTGRCACTATGAATCTTTCCACTGCTAATGAATATGTTTATTGACATTTTTAGGTCCCTCTGCACTTGAGAGCAAACTGGGAAGGATTTTATGCCGARATACTCACATTAGCAGGATTAGTAGCCTATGCTCTCAATTTCTTTGCTGGAAGAACTAAAAATTCAAAACTGGCCACTGCATGGTAAGATGGCATAGAATCAAACATTTTTTCCATCCCATTAAGACTATAATTTTCCTTTTCACATTTTTTTTATAATTAATTTTTTTCTTTCATTTACTTTTTAAACTTTTACAATGTTCACATACAGTACATGYATGTAGAATTTATATTTGAAGTTGTATGTTAAATTTCTGAATGCAAACTAATCAATTGATATGTTTTTCATTTGTTTAAAGGTTCAAGGCCAATAAAGAACTTTTGGAAAGTAATTTCCATGTTGTAGGTAAATAMAATAGAGTTATAGCACATTATAAATGCGGTCAAACACGTTTCGAATAAGGAATATTGTTATAAAAATTACATAGACATATTCTCTGATTATTCAGCTTTCATATGGCATATAATACTTTATAAAAACGCCAGTGATTTTTCAACAAAGAAACGCTGTGCAGGGTTACAGTAACCTTAACACCAATATTTTAGACACCCTGTTGTTGYGGACATAAATCTACACTCCAGAGAAATTACTAAAAGAGTCAACACTACAGCACTAATACTTGGTGCAGCCCTGAGATTGAMCAAGAGTTGAGAGTTGATCCATTAACTTTCCTGCTTGCATTAAATCTCAATCTATGATAACTTGCTAATTTGGTTTTGGTTGTRCCTTGATGGAATAGTTTTATGTATCATGATGTTGTTATTCAAGGTGATGATGGTGCTCTAGAAGAGCCACAACAAGGCATTCTAGTCAAAGAAAGTGAATCACTTTATACATTATGGTGTTCAGGAAGAGCTGGTTGTAATGGGATGCTGGTAGAACTTAAGGTATACAATCAAATTAATATTGTTTAAATATTTTTGACTTTCTTGTTACATTTGTAAACCTTTGACCAAATGATTTACTTGAGCCTTCATCAGAGGTGAAGCGATGAAACAAAAACGAATGAATTCAATTTGATTTTGAGCTTTGTCTTGTGACACACGGAAATGTTCTTACAATTGTACAATATCTGGCGGTCAAATTCCTACAACCCCTGTTTCAATATCAGGGTACAAGTAAAAGTCTTTGCTTRTGTTTAGCTTGAATGTCTACATAATATTTTACCCTCTACTGTGCTCATGCTTTTACTTGATTTTACACAATTTATGACATCAAGAGTGTGATCAATAACAGGATGTACAAGTCAAAACTGTGCTCAATTTGTTAATCATTCCAATCTCGATGATGTGTCCATATTGTAGTCTGTGCTAATCCTTGATATATTTTGTTCTCAAATCCTTTTTATATATTGTTTCAGTTACAGAAAAGACATGATCTTGTTAATGTCATGTCACATCTTGTCAAACCAGTCAAGGATACAGTTGTAAGTAGAAAAATTGCTAAGAACTAATTCCAGTATTTCAGTTTCTTGTTGTCAGTGAATTTTCCTCTTTAGTTGAAATATAAAATGATGAATTCACCTTTGAGTAGGTTGTTATTTGTTGCATTCATGACTTTCTCTTTATAGTTAAGASTGTCAACAAAACGCTATTATTGCCAGGTTTTGAATCAGAAAAAGGGATTTGAAAAAGTCTTGACATTTTACATTTAGAATTTCCCTGAAAGGCTTACCAATATCCTCTTAAAATTGTACAATTTTTTTTAGACCATTACTGTTCACATGACTGATGAGGAAATGGATAACTTTGTTCTTGCMATTGTGCCTAAAAAGACAGCAACAAAAATGCAGAAGGAGCTAGTAGACCTAGTGAGTTTTCATGTTTCACTGCTATTCTTACAGAGTGTGTATGATATTTATGTCAAATGTTTCTTTTTTAAGCACAAAGTAGTCTTATTCGCAACCAAGGATATTGGGAGGGATGTGAAAATCTAGAAGGGACTCCTGTATATCGTTAGGCATGAAAGATTGTCATATCTTTTAGGGGTAAAAATYGTGGATCTAGTATCAGYTAGGGTATCTTAAGAGTTTTTGGCAAATCAAAGTTTAATTTGGAATCTTTAAGGTATCTAAAACTTTTGAGCAGAAGGTGTTTGAAGTTCATGAGTCTTTCTGGGGTTAAAATCATAAGGTTCCAAAAAAAATTTCTCACCTGCAGTACTTTTTACAGATATGAGTTACTCACATTTTCTGGAGTGAATTTTAAAGATAGCATTTTGAATAGAGGCAAGGAGTCATGTTGCTTGCACTGATAAATAACACTTTCACACTAGAAGAATTATTACAAGAGAAACTGCAACTTTATAACCAATGTTATCCTGTAATTCTTCTTTCAGAATTTTTTTTGTCCAGACAAGAAGAGTGGAAACAAGTTTAATTTACCTAACTCTCTTGTTGTCCTTACTGAATCTAATGAAGCAGCTAATGTACTATTATCACAACAGGTTTGTATTTATAAATGTCTTTTAAAAAAAAATAGAAGACTTGTGTGTTTTAGAAAATATAATTCATTACATATGTGAGGAACAGAAAATAATAAATGCCAAATCATTTGGTTCTTCATTTCTATGAAATAATATTTCATCAAATATAACAAAGTAGAAGCTATAACTGCAATGTTTGTAATTGTTTGAGATCAATGTTTTAACTATGTCAAAGATAAAGCGTTTGAACTTAGCCTTCATTACAACTGAAAAAACAACTTTAGTTTGAATGGATGTGACACAGTCTCGTTGAAACTCCTCATTTTGAAAACAACAGCAATAATTTTTTATATCATTTCATTATATTCTAACAGGTGACAAAAATGATATGCACCCATGAAAATATGTTTGAGTCTATGATGTTCTCAGATCAGTACGTAGGACCTAAACAAGAAGATGAGTAAGTTGAAATATTTATCAACATATAAAATTGTATTAAACCTGTTTGTATGATATATATATGTAAAATTAATGAATTGAAAACAAAATAATTTGATTAATGGATTGAATTTATCAGTATGTATGTATACTTTTTTTAGGGAGCAAGGAACTGCTAAGCCTGTCAAGCCTAAGAAAGTGTTAATTTTCAACTTCACAGGTACACTGTTTCACGACCTTGATAAAAASTGCACCTCATATTTAAGATGACTTAATTCAAATAGTTGATTCTTTGACTTTCGTTGTTTGTAGTTGCTACTAAGGGTAATAACACCAAGGCTCAAGATATGGCTAAACTAGAACCAATGATGAGGCTGGTCCTCTTTTGTATTGATAGAGTACGCAAATTTAGGCTTGGTAAAGATGTAAGTATGTTACTGGTCTTTTCCCCTGACGTAATGCTTTTTCGATGAAGTCTATCATGGCATGGACGATGTCTTATAAAAGCTAAGAAGTGCTTTTGCTATTCCATTAAAAAAGCATCAAACAGTTTGATGCCTGGACACTAGCAACCTCATACTTGTTGTTTGCGAAAGACCAAGAAACAAGTTCGAAACTAAAAACATGACAGGACCATTCACTTAATAAACACCGGTTTAAACATTCACGTCAATACGTAAAAGAAGCGAAAAAAAGCAGACTTAGTATACAGTGTAAACGTGCAAAAAATGAAAATGTCCTGCCTTTCTGTGCTGTAGCATGTAGTGTTGTCTTCATGAGTGTACAWACAATGTTCACAAATCGTCCGAAAACCAAAGGACGAATACAAATACAGTGTATTTTTATTATTATGTACAAGGATGAAAATCAACTGAAGATGACTCATAGTCGAAAACGTTTTTAATTTCATAACACTATCTATATATTTTCATCCTTGTACATAATAATAATATTTTAAGCGAAATATGACCACAAATACAGTGTAATAAAATAAAAATAAATACATATATGTACGTTCAAGAGATTGGTAGGCATATTGATTTGGTATTCTGTTTATTCATTTGCTTGTTAGGCCAAGGCAAAATCTGATAAAAATAGACGTGAATTAGAGGAGAGTCTTTTAAAACAGACACATGCTCAAAGACAAGAGGTGAGGAGGGATGCATTAGTGAATAACGCAATTTTCTGTTTGTATTCTCTGATGTTCTAGCTGTACTTCCCATTCGCGTTTCCCATTGCCTTATGTAAACATTGATGCCATCTATAAAACTCTTTAGTGTAAAACTATTAGTGTARAATGATTATTAGTTAACCATATTTTGTAATCATCAATATATCTCGTGTTGTTAAGGCTGCACAGCTTCGACGTGAAGARAAACGTCGAGAAGACAAGGARCGAATGATGCAAGAAGAAGACCCCGACAGGCAACGACGTCTAGAGGTAAAATTCCCAGGGTATTAAAAMAGGATTCACATCAAAATCATTTTCCTAATTTAAACTACTGTGAGTATTTGATTTTCTTTGTATCTGTCATTATAGGCACTAGAGAACAAGAAAGACGCCAAGAGAAGAAATCCATACAAGATTAAGCAAATCAAAGCTCGAGCCTAGTRCTTTTTTGTGCAGTGGTCATATGTGCAACATCAAATTCTCGTTTCTCTTCCTSTTTTTACGATGGATATATGTGACTTTTTTTAATGGAATGTCTGTGGGGAAATCAGCTTCTGTTCTTGATGTTGTATTTCATGCATTCGTATTTTTTAAATTTAAGCTTATGTTGCTCTTTCTTTCTTGACAATGTTCTTGACCAATGTCACAATTTTCCATACGTTTAAGTGTCTTAACGGCGGCAAAACCTAATTGAAAGAGAGAATAAAATGGCAAAGAGGGAAAGACAAACTGTTTCATGAATCGAAAGTATTGCGAGAATGACGAATAGTTCATATGTACAACTTGAACTAGGTTTCACGAATAAAAATTAATCTGTACATTCTTGTTCATTCGTGAAGTATYAGTAAGCAACAGCCATATCATGAAAAATCATACCATTTCAGCAGAAAAGAATTTCTTTAAATGTGCTAAGCCAACAATATGGAGAAAGTCCTCTATGACTAAGCATAATGTTGCTTTCGTAAAGACGTGATCTAACTAAAATTGATATTTTCAGTAGTGAAAATAACACATTCGAGGTTTTTCTATATAGTGGAAGTAAGAAAAAAGGTATTTTACGACATAATTTGCTTTCATATGTAATTATATGATAAACAGAATATTACATGGTCGCTTGGAGATACGAATTTTGTCTTYTCGTGTTGAAAATCTCTCGCTCGTGAGAGATCTTTTCAACATTCGAAGATACATGTAAAATCCGTATCTCCGCGCGCCCATGTAATATCCTCTATTTATTGAAAATATTTAACTCTACATAATAATTCATTTTAAGCGAAGTAGTTAACTTTCTCTTATATTAAAGCACAAATGGTGTCTGCACAAATGCGCTAAATATTGCTCTAGTAGATCTGGGTTTTATTTTTTTCAAATCAATCAAGTTCTTTGATTAGTTTACAAACAAAAATTCTATGCCGAGTGTACAAAAATGTTCAAAATGTTTCAAACTATAAAGTTCAACTTCGTTGTTTTAATTAACTTCTTCAACTATAGGTCCATTTGTATTTTCGCTTTGCTGAACTTTTCCATGAATTTTGGCCATGATTGGTGAACAAACTCTCTGCAATTCTTTCTCTTTGTCTTGAAATTCTTCCTTCTCTGCCAAGACGTTTCTGTCTAGCCAGTTGATGACTTCTGTAACCTTTTCCTTCACGTTTTCATTGTCCTCCTCAGATAATTTGTTTGAAGCTGTGGCGTCTTCGGCTTCCCGCTTCACTCTGAACGCGTAGTTTTCCAAACTATTTCGTGCTTCGATTCTCTCCCTTTGTGCGTCGTCTTGACTTTTATATTTCTCAGCATCTTCTACCATTCTTTCAATGTCTTTCTTGGATAATCGTCCTTTGTCGTTCTTGATGGTGATGGAGTTCTTTTTACCGGTACTCTTRTCTTGTGCAGAAACGTTCAAAATGCCGTTGGCATCAATATCAAAAGTGACTTCGATCTGCGGCACACCACGTGGAGCTGGTGGGATTCCATTCAGMTCGAATMTKCCAAGGAGATTGTTACCATTTGTCATGGCTCTCTCTCCTTCAAACACTTGAATTCTGACCSCTGACTGGTTGTCGGCGAAGGTTGTGAAGGTATTGGAAGTCTTGGTAGGAATGCGAGTGCTTCTTTCAATTAATTTGGTCATCATTTCGCCTGCAGTTTCAATTCCCAGTGAAAGTGGAGCCACGTCTACAAGCAGGACGTCTTTGATTTCAGAGCTTTGGTCTCCAGTGAGCAGAGCAGCTTGTACCGCTGCACCATACGCTACAGCCTCGTCTGGGTTGATGAATTTGTTTAATTTCTTACCATTGAAGTACTCCTCCAGCAGATTTTGAATCTTTGGGATTCGCGTCGACCCACCAACTAGCACCACCTCGTGAATGTCTGCCTTTCCAAGTTTGGCATCGCRTAACGCCTTCTCTACTGGGTCAAGACACGAGCGGAACAAATCGGAACAAAGTTCTTCAAATCTTGCACGAGTGATTTTGGAGTAGAAATCGATTCCTTCAAACAACGAGTCGACTTCAATGCTTGCTGCTGTGCTTGATGACAGTGTTCTCTTAGCTCGTTCACAGGTTGTTCTCAGTCTTCGTAGTGCTTTACAGTTTGTGGTGAGGTCTTTYTTGTGTTTTCTTTTGAACTCACCCACGAAATGGTTCACCAGTCTGTTGTCAAAGTCTTCGCCACCAAGATGGGTATTACCAGCTGTAGACAGCACTTCAAACAGAGAGCCTTCGTCGATGGATAGCACCGATACATCAAACGTACCTCCACCGAGATCAAAGATCAACACGTTCTGCTCTCCCTTCGCCTTCTTGTCCAAACCGTAGGCCAAAGCAGCAGCAGTAGGCTCGTTGATGATTCTCAAGACATTCAGCCCAGCGATGATACCAGCATCTTTAGTTGCCTGTCGCTGTGAGTCATTGAAGTAGGCAGGGACAGTAATAACTGCATTGGTGACTTTATTTCCTAAGTAAGCTTCAGCAGTCTCTTTCATCTTTAAACCTCTTGGTCTCTCCTTTGTAGTCAACTCGGAGCTTCGGCTTGCTATTTTCATTGATAACCTTGAATGGCCAGTGCTTGATATCTGACTGTACGCTTGAATCATAGTACTTACGACCTATCAGTCTCTTAGCATCAAAGATTGTGTTCTCGGGGTTTAAYGCCACCTGATTCTTGGCTGGGTCTCCGATGAGACGTTCTGTATCGTTGAATGCTACATAACTTGGTGTCGTCCTGTTCCCCTGGTCGTTGGCGATAATTTCTACTTTGCCATTTTCAAATACTCCAACGCAAGAGTACGTTGTACCAAGATCGATTCCAAYAGCTTTCGCCATCTTCTCTGTAGCTGTAGTAGTTTCTTGTATTTCTTCTGTAGCTTATCTCGACTTTCGTTTGAGATGAATATGAGGTTCGCTCAGCCGGTCTCATATTTATACTGCTTGTAAAGAAATCGAGACTGAAATTCGAGCCAGATAAAAACGAAAACGTAATTCACTATTAGTCAGCAAAAACAGCAAGTGCAACTTACTGGAAAATCAGTCGAGTAAAAGGAAATCTCCAGTGCTTTCTATCAGAAACCTAAGTATAAGGGACATATTATAGGAGGGTCTCAATGGGGTTAACCGTGAGCCGTGAAACGGCTGAAAAATTAGCCGTGAGTCGTGAAAATGAGAAAAAATTAGCCGTGAGGCGTGAATATCTTTTTATAGCGTGAGCYGTGATTCAGTATTGTTCCTCAGAAGGACAGTCAACGCCAGGCGCGCGCTTGTAATTTTGTTTAGTAAATTTAAAGAATAAAAGCTTTAGTGGATATCTTTTCAAAATTTTGACTTGGAATTTTTCCCCAAAATCTTCCACTCTTCCCCATCCCCCAGAAATTCTAATGGATCGCACCTACCAACAAGGTCTCCCAGACAAGTCAGGGCATGGACAAAATTTGACATTTGAAATAAAAAATTAAAATTAACTGAGTGTCTGTAACGTACAAGGGACACTGTGCTCCCACACTCACTGTATCTCTAGCAAAAAGTGATGAAAAACGTTGTTTTCATTTCAAAAATTTCTGAAAGTAATCTAGTTAATTAACCGTGATTCGAAAAAAATAGTCGTGAGTCGTGAAATAGCCAAATTTTTTTGCCGTGAGTCGTGATTCGTACCACCCCATTGAGACCCTCTTATAGGTTTCTGTTTCTACATTAGTTGCCAGCCCCTCTCAGTTTTTACTTTTGATTTCAAAAAACGCGATTTAAACGCATTTGTAGACAAGCGAAATGACAAAAATGTATCATCTTGATCAATTTTTGCATTTTTTATCGTCATTTAATTTTATCTGAACATTAAAGCTAATTAGTAAACGCAAGCTAATTTTAGAGTTTGAATCGCGGTTTTCCTGTTTCTGTCTACCACAGAAACCCCACACAAAACATTTCATTGTCACTCTAGAAAATCCATATTCGGGAGCTTATCGAGTCATTTTGAGAAAGTTCAGTTTTTAATATTTCTCAAAAAGTCTCGAATTAAATATGCTAGGAAAAATTGAAAGAAAAACTGAGAGGGACTGGCAACTACGCCAATGAGTCGGCAATATCTAGTGCGCAAAAACTAGTTTGCATGTTTATATTTTACGTCAAATAAATTATTYTATCTTGTATTATGAAGAGCTAAATATATTTACAATAAATATTGATTCAATCAAATTTCCACTTCTCATTTTCATTTCGGTCTCAACGGGGTGGTACGCATCACGACTCACGGCTAAAAATTTGGCGATTTCACGACTCACGACTAATTTTTTCGAATCACGGTTACGTAGGAAGCATAGGAACGTAGGAAGCTGATCAAAGACAACAACAAAAAGAAAAAAGAAAAGAAAAGAAATATGAAAAAAGAAAAAACTTGAGTCGTGAGATTCGAACCCATGACCATAAAATCGAAAAAAGGTTGGGACGATTYCCCCGAGACATTCTGTKAAGCTGAGGCGGCGAATCGATTTACATTCCGGTTAGAGATTTCGGCTCTTCCATGCTATCCCRATAATTGGTCCTAACTTCGCGCTAACTAAAAAGCCAGTGAGGGAGAAGCTATCCGGCCCCTAGACACTGATGGATAACCCCTTGCACTAACTAGGCAACTATCGAAAGTATAATGTCAAATTGGGGTAGTCTATTCGGTGAAAGTGTCAAGTGGTCTATTATTATGTAAATGAGAGTGRTCCAGTGGCGCACCGCGTTAAGGCGCTGCTTGCAAATCCAATGTAGGTTTGACGGTAGCGGGATCGATTMCCTGGAGGAGACGYTTAATGATTTTGTTTTCTCCTTTTTAGTTTATTTATTGTTTATCTTTTTTATTTATTGATTGATTTTTGCATAATTATTGTCATCTCTTGTGTTTCACTTTCCCGAGAACCGACTTTTTTTTACGACGTGATATAACTGATATATGATTATAACTAATTTTGTCCATGCCCTGACTTGTCTGCAGGACCTTTCAATTACTGCCTTGTTGGTAGGTGCGATCCATTTAGAATTTTGAGGGGATGGGGGTGGAAGAAACAATTCCTGAACGGACCGAGGGGCCGAAAAAAAATTCTTGCAAGGCAAAATTTTGAAAAATCTCCACTAAAAGCTTTTATTCTTTAAATTTACAAAAAAAAAAAAAAAAAAAAAAATGCAAGCGCGCGGCTGCATCGGAGTTGACTGTCCTTCTGAGGGACATAACTGAATCACGGCTCACGCTATAAAAAGATATTCACGCCTCATGGCTAATTTTTTCGCATTTTCACGGCTAATTTTTCAGCCGTTTCACGGCTCACGGTTAACCACATTGAGACCCTCTAGAAAGAGGGGATAGTAACCATTCGATATATACTTCATAATCCAGGATCCCCCAATGCAGTACTCAGGATGATGAGTTGTAGTGTTTCCGAGGATTTGGAGCTCCCATGGTCCTTATAGAGCTCTATAGAATTGGGCTACCTGTGACGTATCAGCGGCTCACAGCGGCTGCTCCCAATAGAGTCGCCATTTTGTGTAGAATTTGAACTCTCAGTCGATCTCGATAAATTTCGTTTCTTTCTCAATGGGAACTGAAGAAGAGCGTAGCTCCCCTTCTAAGGAAATAGACCAAGACAGGTCGAAGCACAGAGAAAGGGATAAGGACAGAGACAGACGTGATAGACATAAAAGAGAGAGAGACCGCTCAAGAGAGCGAAGGAGAGACCGAGAAAGACATAGAGATGACAAACGAAGAGACAGAAAGAGAGATAGGTCTAAAGACCGCAAACATCGCTCACGAAGATCAAGGTTTGAAGCTTATAAATCTAGGTTTTACTTGTAACTAATTAGTCACAAACACAAGTGTTTCAAAAACGTGTTGTTGACGTTTTCATGTTGTAACACAGGAAGCCCAAACATGTTAGAACTAGTTGTTCTAMCAAGATCATATTTTATCTGGGATAGGTAATGGTTTTTCATCTTGCATAGGGTTGCAATAGCATTAGTTGTCATAGTCTGGGTATTGAAAATCAAAGTTTTAGGTGTGGGATAGATTGGGAAATCGATGTCAAATAATTCCTGCTGAAGCGAGACAACCATTGAGCGTGCAATGATAGAAACCTGTGAATAATTGTCTGTAGGCGTGAAAGAAGGTTTTTATCATTGCATGCTCAACGGTTGTCTCGCTTCGATGCAAAGGCATGGCTACCTTTCAAGATGGCACAGGTAACAGTGAAGGAGACTATTGCAAACATTAGGTACTGTAAAAAGGAGTTAACTGGCCAAATTTGAAAGGCGTACTTGATCTAGAGAGTGAGTAAACTAATTTTTAATCAAAGAGTTATTGTAGTGGAATGATATGTCACTCACTAAGTCAGTCACTCACTATCCTGTAAACTGCGTTGTTAACTTAGTTAACTGCTATTTTTTAATTTGATTAATTTATTACGTTTGCAATTGATAATTATTTCCGAATTTGAATTCAGTGAGAATTATTTGACATCGATTTCCCGGTCTATCCTTGTTATTTTGCGATACCGGACAAGATGGCGCCTGAAACCGTCACCTCGTACTGTATATTTGATATTCAATGTCAACTTGGAAAATGAGTATCTCTATCAAAGGTTGTGTAAATAAACTGTCTTATGTTTTCTAGATCAAGATCACCTCATAAATCAAGGGATGGTAGAAAAAGGTCAGAAATAATTTATATTGTAAAATTTATTTAAATTTTAATGATGCAGTTCTTAAAGTGGAGAAAATTACCTTCACATTTGACTTTTTTTGAATAAATGCAGAAACTTTGGCTGTGAAGCCTCTTTTGTAAAATACTTTTGAACTCTAAAATATTCAATACTGAATTTTTTCCTCCTCATTTTATGTTATAATTTGCTACATGTTATTTTTATTTCAATAATTATTTTTGTAATTATCAAACATAGTGAAGAAGAAGAGGAAGAACAGAAGAAGCCCAAAGTTGAAGTGAGTGTTAATTATTATTAACAGAAATATCAGTCAAAGCAGAGTTAGTAACTACATTTGTACCAGTAGATAGAGTCAACTGACACTTTATGTTGTTTTTGCTTTTTTTCATTAGTTTAATAAGACTTTACTTTTAATGTAACAGGGGSCAGAGGAAGCACTATTTTGAACTTTAAGCTTGACTACCTAGTTTCAAACTTTTCTATAATGTAAAATAATATACATGTAAGCACATTGGGTTTTTGAAATGTGCTCTTAGCACATCATATTGTTATTATTAAATTAGATCAGTTTACTGGCCAAT